CCCCCCCCCCCCCCCGCGTCCTGCCCCGCCGCTGTCCCCCCGGCCGGCGCAGTCCCCGCGCCCCGCCCCCTGCCGCTCCCCTCCGGACCCCAGGTCCCCTTGCCTCATGTTCTCCACTGTCGGGCCGTGGTGGCGCAGCAGGCAGATGACCGCGGCCACCGTGGAGGCCGAGAGGCAGAGCGCGCAGTACAGCGTGATCTTGGCGCAGAACCTGGCGGAGCGGCTGAGCTGCACGAGCAGCAGGAGCAGCAGCAGCGCGGCGGTCAGCCACGGCCAGAGCTCCATGGCCCCGCCACGCCCGGACCGCGCCCCCGCGGCGGCGTCCCCGGAACCCCGACGGCGCTGGCCTCGGCTCCGTCTCTGGGCTCTGGCCTGCGGGCGCGAGGACGACCTGTGGGCTGACGACTGCGAGCCTCCTCCCGCCCGCCCGCGCCCCTTATTGCGACGGCGGAGGGGCGGGGCGCCCCGGGGCGGAGAGGGGAGCGAGCGCGCCCAGGAAGCTGCTAGGTGAGGCGCGCCCCGCCCCGCCCCGCGACACTCCCCCTGCCCCCGCCGCCCGGTCACCTAGCTCCTGGCCGGGCTATCCGCGTCCCGGCCCCGCAGCCGCGCGGCGGGTAAACTTGGGCTCCGGCACCGCCCCCCCGCCGCCGTATGGGCCTCCCCGCCCCGCCCCGTGTTCCCCACACCCCCGCTGCCCCCAAACCCAGAAGCGTGACTCCAAAGGCTACCCAAGGACGCAACCTCTCTGGCAGCCCTGTCGCCACACAAAGGAGCCCCTGAACTGCGCCCGCGTGACTGCCGCCTGGGCCACCTGCTCCTTCGGGCCCCTGGGGCAATTGCAGGGAGACCCTGCTGGTCCGGCGGGGGGTGACCTCGCTCTGCGGGCCTGGGGGGCACACACAGATTCCGGGTGGAGGCAGTAGGAATGGGGCGGCCTTCTGGGCGCGGCTGGGGCTGTCCGCTTTGGGTGCCAGGAACAGTGCGTCACCATGGCCGGGAGCAGATACAGGGCGATTGTGCTCACATCAACTCAGCCTTCGGCCAGCCTGGCGGCATCAGTCACTTAGAGCTTGGCTTGGGGTGGAAGGAGGGCCCTGGCTGGATGTCCAGGTCACGGCTGCAGGGGCAGCCCACCGGTCCCAGAGAGCAGACTGAGCTTGCCCTTGTCCTCTTGGCTGCCTGGGGTCCTGTGTCTGCTGCAATTTCCAAAAGCCCACGGACACCTGGCACTCCTAAGGGCATCAGGAACTACCTTATGGGTCTCCTGGGTTTTTCAGATGCTGAGGCAATCTGTTACTGAAATACTCTCCTGACAGCCCCCAAAACTGATCTGTTCTCTCTCTCTCTCTCTCTCTCTTTTTTTTTTCGGTGCAAATGGTGGTTTCATTAAAGCACAGGGACAAGACCCATGGGCAGAAAGAGCTGCAGCCTCAAAACTGATCCGTGTTCACTGCAAATACAAAAGCTTCGCTCTTGAGCTAAACGGGGACCCCTCGCTCTAGGGAGGGTGGGGCTCCCTGCAAGGGCGTAGTAGCCCATTCACAGATGTTCGTAGCATTTCCCTGTGGGGAGGATTGCTTCAGCTGAGTTCCACGCGTGGTGTTTCTCAGTGGGACCAATAAGAGCATCTCGACTCAGTCCTGGTCCGTCTGTGGGGACACGGCTTTGTGTCCCTGTCAATACACGAGCTGGTCTCTTTCCACTCTTGCAACAGGCTCCTGCTGCACCGGCCACAGGCTGTAGGATTTATGGGCCCCTGGGCAGGCGGCAGCAAAGCCGGAGAGCATGTGGGTCAGTGGGAGTGGGTGGCCTGCGTCCAGGGGTGCAGCTGCAGCCGGGAGGAGCCTGGGTCACAGCGGGCTTCTCTGTGGCTGCTAGCCATGCCTGCAGCCGCAGGTCCTCAGGGGGTCCAGACGGGATGAATGGAACCCAGGCCTCACAAGCCGTGCAGGGCAGAAAGGGCCGCTTTGCCCAAGGGGACTTCCTTCTGGTCCCTGAGCAGCACGCTTTCCATGGGACCCCTCCACCTCTAGCTCACCCACCTGGTCCCTGCCTCACCCTGACCCTATTCCCAGCACTTCCGACGACTTTGTGACATGTTTGCAGGTTTGTGTACTTGCTGAGCTTCCCTGACTTGGTCAGATGGCCACTTCATGGGGGCCCATCTGTCTTGCTTGCAGGCGCATGACCAGCGCTGAGATCCATGCCGGGCTCAGGAGGTACTTACTCCCCAGCAAGTGCACCCCATTTGGAAAGTGCACCCCAGACAGAAAATGGCCTCCTAGAGGCGAGAGTCGCCCTGCTGGAGTGACAGGGGAGGAGCCTAACCCTGGTCACTGTGTCCCACACCTGCTGCCGGGAGGCTGCCCAGCTGCTGGGGGTCTGCCCTGTCCTCCAGCTCCTGGGGGCAGCGGTCTGGGCACACCGCTGTGTCCTCATACAGACAGAGGGTCTGTTATGCAAACTCACCTTTTCCCCAGTTTCCTCCTGGGCAAATATTGAAAAGAAAAGAAAGCACTCTTCCCCTGATGGGGCAGGGAAGAGGGGTTGGGGGCTGGGGGGACGCCTGTGGCGTGGGGCGTCAGACTCCTCCGGTGTGGGTCTGAAAGAAATACTCAATATCATAAAGTCCTATTTGGAAAGCTAACAAAACCTCTTTTGTTTCTAGAAAGTGAAGCCCTGAAGAATCTTCTGGGTTGGTGGAGAAAAGAGATTTTCTCTTAAATCAGTGATTCTCAACTAAGCACGGACGGATACGGCTCCACTCAGGTTCTGCCCCAGAGCACGGCCAGAGCAGGGAAGCCCGGTCTGATGGGCAGGGATGTGCCGGTGTCCTGATTGACCCCGTCAGGGGAGCCGGGGTCCCCACGATGACCTGGGGGAGTTCATGACTGAGTTGGTCCCTGTCCCCTCCTGGGCATTTCTGGGGCTCATCCAGACAGCACATGACACCAGGAGACACGATTGGGGCTGAGTTGTCACACCTCCCGAGGCCCACAGGAGCTCACAGTCAAGGATTGGTGCCATCACCGGGTGCCAGGTGCCGGGTGCTGGGCGACGGGAAACTGGCGGCCAGGGGGCATGCTGGCTTCCACACGCAGACCTGCCAGAGGCTGACCAGCCCACCTGCCTACCCACCCAGGGCCTCCTTCTGCCAGGTCCGGGTGGGGCCCCGTGGTCTCCAGGTTTCTCTCCGGTTGGGTGGCATGTCCGGAGGGAAGGGCCAGGGCTCTCCATGCCTGAAGCCGAGATAAAGTGAGCACTGTGTGACCCCTCCTCGCCACGTGGCATCTGGGGCAGGGGTGGGGCACCCAGCCTCTGAAGTCCCAAGATGTGGCTTCATAGTCCGTATTACCCAAAGCACCAGAGCCTCGGTTTCCTAGTCTATACAATGGGGACAGTAGGCTCACTAGTGGCTGGGAGGAACTGCGTCCATGGCCCAGGCTGGCCCAGCAAGGGCCACTCCTGCCTTTGCCTCCTGCGTGTGGAGGTAGTAGGTTCCTGCCTGGGAGGAAGTATGACCGGGATCAGGATGACAGCTCAGGAAGGGGTGTCCCAGCAATCTTGCAAGATCAGGGATGCGGGCTGGGGGCAGCTGATTGTATAGCTGGGCGGGGGCGTGGTGTGGGGGCGGAGCTCCCTATGACCCCTGCTCCCTCTGGCGGGAGGGGGGGGGCATCTCCAGGAGGTGAAGAAGGCCCTTGGAAGGCAGGCATCAGGCTAGATGGGAGGAAGGGAGGAACCCCGGAGAGCCTGGCAGGTGTGGGTTGGGGGGCAAGGGCGCACGGGTGAGAACGCGGCTGGACTGCCCTGGGGCACTCAGGCAGAGTTCCCCTAGGCCTGCAGGTTTTCAGACCTCCTGGTGGCCAAGGCCACCCCCCACCTGTAAATAAAGCAGCCTGTGAATCTTTCATGGGCTTGTGCTTAAAAATAGATGAGGTGAAGCCTCTGGGCCGGATTCCCAGGTCTCTGCTGTGGCCACAACCTCCCCAGGGAGGCAGGGAGGGAGCTGGCCAGGGCGCCCGGAGCCGGAGCCGGAGCCGGAGCCAGAGCCGGAGCCGGAGCCGGAGCCGGAGCCGGAGCCGGAGCCGGAGCCGGGACAGACGGCCGCCGGGCACAGGGGCCAATGAGAAGTGTCTTCTGGAGGTGGTGTCTGGGCTCCCAGGTCCCAGGCTAGGGGGCGGGCCTGGCGGGGCCGGAGCAGCAGCTTGAGTGATCCTTCGCCCTAGAGGGCTTTTGGGCTGGGAGACGGAGGGGAGCGGACAGAACGTCGGAGAGGTAGGACCACCCGGAGAGACCAAGCCCCAAGAGGAATGGAGCTGGAGGTCCCCGTCCTGGGGCTGAGGCCCTTTCAGCCTACACAAGGGCTGCCCCCCACATGGCAGCCCCCCACGCAGCCCTCCCACCCATGGCACGAGCCTGCCTTCCACGCTTGGATCAGCACATTCACTTGAGGCTCTAACAGCAACCGGAGCCCCAGGTCCCAGATGGGCCCTCGGAGGTGGCCTCGCCCAGCCCCCACCAGACAGACGGGAGCACAAGGCCCCGGGTGGGACCCCCCCCCCCGCCCAGGGCCTCGGGCCGGCAAGATGAAGCAGGAGCCCTGGGTGACCGGCAAGCAGCCCTTCCTGCCAGGGCCTCAGCTTCCTTCTCCATGCTGAGCGGCCAGGGATGGGCCCCTGGGGGCCTGTGAGGGTAACAGGCCGAGTGGAAGATGCCAGGCCAGCAGCACCTTCTCGGACAGGCTGCCCTCCAATCACCTCACCCCTGGCCCAGCTGGCGTCTGGACTGGATCAGCTGCCCAGCACTCCCCAGGCCAAGGCACTGACTAGATGGGACTGAGGGCCAAGCAGGCTGCCCTGGGCCTTGCCCCATCCACTCCCGGCTTTGGCTGCTGGCTCAGGGGCTGCCTCTCTGGGTCAAGGGGCCCTGGAGGCGCCCTGGCCCCTTCTGTCCTGCCTCTCACTGCAGGGGACAGAGGAGGCCACAAGCACTAGAGAAGGGGCCAGGGGCTGGGGGGGCCCCTCCATTATGAAGGCCAGTATCCTGCCTCTGGCACTGGGGGTGGGGGCAGGGAGGCAGGTTGGGAGGAGCCTGGAAGGAGGAGGGCGCTGTGGCCTCCCTGCCAGGCCTCCTTCACCCTTCCCATGACTATGCTGAATTCCCACAGCCCTGGAGGGCTCACAGGGTCAGCTCCCATCCTCCTGACTGCGGCCGGGCAGACGTCCATCCCACGAGCCACACCCGTGACGTGGTTGGTCGGGGGGTGGGGTGGGCACCTCGGCAAACCCTATCTGGATGCCCAGACTCACCAACGTAGAGAGCAAATTTTCACCTTTCTCAGGGTTGTCCCTCAAGTGAGGCAGGGAGTGGGCGGGAGGGAGCCCAGCTCTGTAGGCACCTGGGCCTGAGTTCTGCCCGCCGTCACTGGCAGG